CCTTTGTTGTGTATTAGTGTAATTTGACCAATTTATTTACATCAGCAAAATTATCTAAATCTTGTAATTAACTGACTAATCGTAATGCTACAAGTATTAGTAATAGTAATATACTCGTAAGGATTTCCAATTTACACTTTACAGTACTAACAATGTCTATAGACTATAGTACACAACAATTTAGTGCCAAAATATATATGACAAATTAGCCTTTGTCTCTTAGTTTGCTTTTACTGTTTAGACGTGATACTTAACTAAATTTGGGCTTTTCTTGACAAGATAACAAACAAAACTGTAAACTCTGAGTGAAGCTTCAAGTTTTGGACAAGGCCTAATAATTACACTTTCAGATCATTGCCAAAATCTGTATTATAAGTTATAGTTTTAAGAAAATATACCATATGATCTTAACCTTACATATTGATACCAGTGTTGTCGAGTCTGCTTATAATGAGCATAATTGGGCCTGTATTTGTGTTTTTTTTTTACAGCTGACTTCAACACACAGTAAATCGATATTAGGAGTGGTTACGGTGATTGACTGGGTTATTAAATAGCCCACATCATTACTATTTTAGAATCATCCTGTCTCCACTCTTGTTCAATTAAAGACATACCCACAATTGTGAACTTTTCTGATCTGCCCACTTGAATCATCATATATAACAATTAAGGCATGCAAGTCGTAGTTTGAAAGACAATGCCGCTTGTTTTTCTCGTGAGATTTAACAACACTGATTGATACAGGCACCAAATCTTTTGAAATATACTGTTCTGTAATGTGACACATTGTGAGGACTTATGATATCACTCATAATGATGGTATTTTTGCCATTAATTATAGGATATTTGTTCTGTAACTTTCATTGAACTAAGATATTACGTTCATATTGCCTCTTTTATAAGTATTAACAGTTTCAAGCCTCTATTATAAGCATTAAAAGTTTGGTATTGTTACATGAATAATCTGCTAACACTATGGGAGACTATGCTACTCATTTGTGTACAGTCTCCTAATTTGTCAACACACTTTGAGCAATTCTTTTAAACCATGATGTATAGGTATATCTCCAAATAATAAAGATAAGACCCTGTAGAGATATTTGGTAGATCGTGTTGGAATAACTGAAAATACTAATTTTGATTAGTTGATTATTTTCACGACAGTTTAGTCATCATTTCAGTTATTTGGTAATTTTATATGACACTAATTGATGCTTGTAGACGATCAATTAATCGTGTCAATTGCCAAGCTCTAGTTTTTAGTTAAGTCATCATGCAACTATGGCATAACTAGCTGTAACTAACAATCTGTTTTCATATTTGAAGGTTGTTAACTAATATAATCTGTTTATATATTGTATTTTCAAAACAATAAACATACTTGTCTATTATTTTAAAAATACTAAAACAATTCAATTTGTATATAAAGTTGTTGAATGACTTATAACTATTAAATGAGCTAAACTATCCAAAACTCGTGAGATGTATTTGGACTGTATTCCAAGATACGGTAAACAGTAAGGGTTTTTAGGTGATAAGGTGCTAGTTTTGTGTTATTTTCATTTCATTAAATACGGATTTACAAGAATATTGTAATGTTATCTCAAATCATTTTATTTTTAAATAAACAGGTGTAGTTGTAAAGTACTTCTTAGTAAAAAGACCTTAATAAATGTATCTTATCCAATTGTACAAATAGGCTTAAACCCAAGCATATTTTATTTCATTTGATGTAATATTTTTAAAACTGTAATTGATATTTAATTTCAAATTAAAGTTTACATACTTACCTGTATATATATATATATTTACCATACACCTATATATCTAAGGGCATAATAGGCACTGGGCAGTATATTGGTTTCCAAAAGTTTAAATTTCTCTTTTCTGTTTATTTGTCCTCCCAAGCTATTTTCAATTATCCTGATTAGTGAATATACATTTCAAATGAAGAAAGTTTTTTCTCTTAGTATCACATTTCATATCCATAATGTTAATCAGTGTTATTGGTTTCAGATGTTTACTGGTAAAAAATCTCAACAAGACAAGCCTGAAGAAACGCAAAATGTATCTGTTGCTACAACTACATCTTCCGAATTTGATGGATCCAAACAGACAGGACCTCAACAAAACCCATTTTCCAGACCATTTGGCTTCTCAAATCCTGGGTATTGGCCATCTTCCTTCTCCAGCACAGCTACTCAAGGAAATGTAAACAAAACTTCATCTGTTCTGCTTCGTCCCTCTTCCATGACATTTACTTCTGCTGAAAATCTGTCAGACCAGTCTAAACAATCATTGTTTACTAGCCCTCCACAAGATACTACCTTAAAAAGTCCTGGTGACAGGAATGTTAAACAACCATCAAGTATTTTATTTGGAACTCCATCATCAACAAGCAGTTTTTTAAAGAAAAGTACTGCTTCACAAGATGTTAAAAGTAATCTAAAATCAAGCTTTTCTTTCTCTGATGCAATGCATAAAACTACCCAAAAATCTGACACCAAGGGTTTTTCATTTAGTACTCATTTTCAACAGGCACAAACAGAAGGTTTTAACACTAGAAGAGAGAGTAAAATGACTGAGGATACTTTTGCTTATCAGCCAAGCTCTTCTGTATTCAAAACTCACTACAAAGATTCAGCTCAGAAACCTTTAGAGCCTTCAGCAGAAGGATTTTCTTTTATCGCAGCAAATCAAATAATGCAAAATAAGATTGATTGTTCAGACGAAGAACAAAAGCCAGTTACATCGAAACGTCCACAGTTAGTCCGAAGTGGACTGTTTGGTAGTGCAGTAAAAGCTGCTACGTCGCCTGTTAAACAAGTTTCTCCCAGACAAAAAGAACATCATCATCAATTAGGTAAAATTGACTTGTTCTAGTTTAATGAAAAGTTATTTAAACTATTTTCCAAAATAGTATGTTTTTTTCTAAATAAAACATTTTATTTCAAGATGTGGACGACAGACATATAGATAGCTTTGTACCAGAAAGTAATCTTGTGTATAGTATTCATCAAGTCAAATTATATTGGAATGTGCCAGATGTGAGAAGTATAGAAAGAGACTGGAAAGTAACATTTAAGAATTTTAATATGTGAGGTTTGGGTTAGAGTTTTTGTTAAACTGGTTAGACCTGTAGTACAGGATTAAAGAGAGGGTACATGTTTGCACATAATGCGTTTTATGTAAGTTGATTGGGTAACGTATGTTACTAATATGGGCTGTTTGAATTAGGCTTAGTATTTTAGATAACAGTACCTGTAAATCAGATGGTGTACTGATGGGAAATTGAAGATGATAAACTTATTTGCTATAATACTAAAACTATAAGTATTTACAGTAAATTATTGTTGCCAGTACCTAAGTGTCATTGGTGTTAGAAAGTCTTGGATAAATGAAAATTAGGGAGATTTGACCCAAGAAAGTTTTAAAGTCTTTTGTAAAGACTTATTAAATGATACAGCAGTATGGTGATCTTCTTTTTAAGAAAAGAATGTGATATTGACATTGTGATCCTTTTTAGATGCGTTTGAAGTGAATTTCTTAAAGAATAGGAAAAAGATACTAGCATTGTCTACATCAGTGATTCCTGGCATTTTTCTGGTAAAATGTTTGTAAAAAGTTGAACCAGGAGTATATAGGCTCGTTGTGTTGTTTCCTAATTTTGCTTCAAGAAGTTTTGAAGTGAAAGTTCTTATGTTCATTGAACTAAGAAGGAAACAACACCTTTGACATATTCCCAACACACATACAAAAATACATTTCATGAAAGTCGGATCTTTCACAAGACTTTTCTTTTCCATTGGACTTTTCTGCGAAACAGCAAAAATATGTCACTATCTGATAAAGATTTTGACACTGATAGGAGTATGTTCGGGCATGTTATTTAAGCAGGGTTATTGTAAAGGGAGACATTAATTTCTGAGATATTAACTGGGCTAATCATTTTCCCTTTTTTTTCTAGATTTTAGGGGGATTGTTTTTTCACTCAGCAGGTTTATTTTTCTAATGTACTAGAGAAAATTATAATTTAAACTTTGTTTTTAGGATTGAGGAAAAAGTACTTGATTTTAAGAATTCACAATGTTGTCTTTAATGTTTTTGTTTGTTTGATCAAGCTAGATATAAAAAGTAGTATATCACAAACAAAAGTTCTCTTATTACAGGCATTAAATTATTTTTCAAATGGGTACTCACCTCCGCTCACACAAATACTATCTCAATCATCGTCTGCCCTCTAAGCTTTGCTAAAAGAATTTTTAGGTGCAGCTAGCTCCCTCTGCTATTCCCACTCAATCCTCACTTTTTTTATTGACATGGCACAGTTTAGACATGGGTTTAATTTTATTTTCTCATTATATGATGCTTCTTCTTAACACTTTTACAATCATGTAAGTACTTCCTTTCATCACTCCTGGGCGAAGAGCATGCCTGTTCCAGAAGTGGTGCAGTATCCCATAGGTGTGTTTCATTTTCATTCTTGAGCACACCCATTCATTCTGGGTGGTCACTTTCCATTTAGTTTGTTCTTTGTGCACCTACACTGGCCCTCCACCTTTGTAATGTGGGATTCTAGCTTTAGTGTGTGAAGTGGTAAGTCTGTTTCAGAAGTTAACATTTTCTTACACTGAAAATGTATTTCTGACAAGTACTTACCACCGTTCACACCCTTCTTCCCCACTAAAACTGGTGTTTTTATTCTAGTACCTGTCAGTTCTCAAAAGTGAGGATTGAGTGGGAATAGCAGAGAGACCTAGCTGCTCTGTTATAGGTGACACAATACTATTGGTGGAGAGTAGTCACATGACATGTACATGTTCAGAAATGGTGTACTAATTACTAAAAATTATTTTAGCAATGCCTAGATGGCAGTCAACAATTGAGATAGCTTTTTGTGATTAAAGGTGAGTACCTATGGGATATACATTTTTAGTGTAAGAAAATGCTAATTTCAACAATGCTAAACTGACAAGAATATAAAAGCTACTAATGAAATAGTAGATGCTAAAATTTACCAAAATACAACAAGAAAAGATACTGTTGTACGTAATGCTACATTTTTTGAGCTCAAAGCATCAAATTTGATTTTAAGGAGTTTTTACGCATTGCTTTAACTGCAAAAAAGATATCTTATGGGTGTATTATTATGAAGGAAAGATAAGGGGCTTAAATGCTAAGTAATTGTTTTTAATAGTGATGAGAAAAGTTTCCTTAGCTGATCAATTTAAAAAATAGAAAACCTTCACTTGAATTATGTTTTTGTTAAAGGACATTTCTCTTTATTATCAAGATTTATCTTGAAAAATCTTAGCTAGGAGAAAGTGGAGCTGGAAAATTTTGGGGCAAAATGCTGTAATCTTTTTGTCAGAGCTCATTTAGAAAAGCATTTGGGAAGGGATTGTTTAATTGATTAACTTTCAACTTTTTTTCAAATCAGTGTAATAATTAAAATAAGCTTGTGTTATTTTATGGGTTAAATGTTTTTGCAAAAATAGGTTTTAAACTTTTATTAAACATCCATTAACTTTCAAGTTAAAGTTCATATTCTCCGCTGAGATAAGTTAAAAACCAAATAAAAGATTTTTTTAATTTATTAATTTTTCAAATTCTTACTATAGTGTTTATTTGATGTATTTTTTTTAAAGATTAGTTTTGTTGATTTTTGAACAAACTTGCATGTACTTGTGATGATTTGTTAGATTCAGATTCAATTTTTTTTGTATCAAAAACTTAATACATTGAAGGAACAGTAGGTAATTTTTCTATTTCATTTTTGTTCATAATTTTCTGAAAAAAAGATATGTAACTGCCAGTGTACAAAAATAATCTAGTTATATATATATATATATATTACAAGACTACAAGTGTTCTTGGTACCTGCACAAATATTAGTTTGCTACTACAGTAACTTCCACCTGCTCAAAGCAAGATATGTCTCTGGTGTAGTTCATATCACATGTATGATATGAATTATTTCAATACTGGCATTGTTTTTATTAATGATTGTTTAAAAGGTGTTCAAGACTCCTTGAGAAAAGACTTCAGTTTCAACATTGCTCAAGTATTATCCAGACACTAAAGTTTAGCCTCCTTTTGTTAAAGATGTGTGATTAACATAATGTTACGTCTCCGTTTGTTAATTGATTTTCCGTAACTTCGTTCCG